CCCCAAAACCCCAAAACCCCGTCTATAAAAATTTAGGTGAGATTTGAAGATTTAGAATTTAATTTAAGAAAGATAGGATTAACTTTAAAAATGAGTCTCAACTATAGAAACGTTGTAAGTATATGATTAGTGTATTAACAACATAGGCGGGCTTTGAGGAGAAAAAAAGTATACCATTAAATTTGATTTATCTTAAAATGTAATAGAGCTTGAGGACAAGGATATTTTAACTCCTGATAAGGACGGTGATAAAAAGAAGGATCTTTAGAGAAAAGATTCTGATTTGTAACAGCTTGAAGGAGAGTATGAAAAATTTTAGTTTGACTAATAATTTATGTTTTCAGAAAGCAGAACGCTAGTGAAAAGATTAACCTATAGCATATTATGGAATTGAGAGAGGCATTTGAAGCAGCTGATACTGATAAAGGAGGTGCACTTGAACTGGAAGAGGTAAAATATTAAAGTTAATTCTCTAGTTCATTGAAGCCTTTGGTGGTGTTATCGGTAAGGGTATGAATCCCAAACAACTTAACCAGCTTTTCATGAAGATTGATGCTGATTCAAATGGATCTGTTGGTAATATTCTATTCAAATTAATTCAAATTCAGAATGGCATGAGTTTATGAATTATATGCTTTTGGAAAATTAGACACTCTCTTCTATGAAAGCTGAGCATTTTGAGTACGTTAAAGCAAACAAGCCTGATCCCCCTCCTAAATCTGAGAAATTGTGCCATAATGATATGATTACTTGCATTTTGGTTTTGTAGCCAGAAGATTACTAAGATGGAAACAGAGCTTAAGTTCACAAGTCATCAGGTGCTGAAACTAAAAAGAACATAAAATTTATTACTTCATCGAGAGATGGTACTGTAAAAGTGTGGATTGGTCTTGCACTTAAATGGGAGAAGACTATCCAGGTTAGCTCTAGTTGGGTAACTGCAATTCAATATATGGTACTGTCAAAAAGACTAGTGGCTGCTTGTGCAAATAGAATGATAAGCTTCTATGATTTGAATCAGACTAATTATAATGTTCCTGTTAGTAGAATTGAAAATCTAGTTGGTATCCCTCTCTGCCTAGAGTAATAAATATAAGATTTCATCAGGTTTTAGATACTATATGTGGCCTAAGAATAAAGAAAATAAGCTTGAAACATTACTAGTGGGAGATGATTTGGGAATATGCCACATGTACAATTTTACATCACTAGAATGGCATTATTGTGAATATAAGAGAGGCTCTAAAGATCAAGTATGATTGAATTTAAATAATATTTTATAGAATAGATGCCATAAGCACGAGATTGAAGATCAGTTTGAAAAGAAAATTGAAGATCTTTATGAATAAACGGTTGAGAAAAAGAACAAAGCAAAGACTGCTTCGAACAAGAAGGAAGGCTAAATCATTGAAAAGGATAAGACATCTACTACTCTATCAAAGAAAAAGCCTATAGCTTATCAAAGAAAAGAACATGGACTGACAATAATTGAAAAACAGATACATAAAGGATGGATTACTAAAATCAAGTTTTACCCTGACCTTAACTATATCATTTCCTCATCTCTTGATGGCTTTATTCATATCCATGATATTGAGGATTTGAGTTACAAGGAGAACAAAACATTTAATCTTCATTAAAAAGGTGTAAACTCCTTCGTGTATTCATCTAAGCACAGATTTGTTGCAAGTTGTGGAGAAGAAAGGCATATCATCATGTGGGATCCATTCACACTAGGTGCTCTTTCATATCTATATGGCCATAATACTTCAGTTTAAGATTTGACTATCAATGAAGATAGACATCATTTGATTAGTTTAGGCACAGATAAAGTTGTTAAGATTTGGGATATTAGAACTTATGCTTGCATCCAAACGATTTTTGATAAAATATGCTACAGACCTGAAGATAGACTAACATTCTTACATTTTGATAAGAACACAAATAATATCTTATTAGGTTCAAGAAAGATTAATCTTTGGTTTGTAATTTCATTACTTCTTCTCATAATTATATATAGTTTAAAACATAAGAGGAAATTAAAACAAGTCATGAATACTCAGTCTGTTTTGCACTCTATAATACTTAATTTGAAGCTGTAGTATCTGGAGATGATGGTAGTTTTATAGCAGTATGGGATATTGAAAATGGGAAACTCATGTCTAAGTTCGGAGACGCTCATGGAGTATTATTGTCTATTTTATATTTATTAGAAAGCTAAAATTACTTCAGGATGCTTTGATGATACTTAAAGAAGACTTATAACTACTGGAAGTGATGGATCTGCTAGAGTGAGATTATTAATATTTAATTGGCTTTTAGATCTGGAACTTTAGTAATGGTCAATGTTTGACAGAATTAATCAGTGAGGAGACTGGAAAGAAATTAGACTCTGAAATTACTGCAGTTGCAAACACTATACAGTTTGATCCAGATGCAGACATGGAAAATTAGAAAATGTCTCATATTATCACTGTTGGCTGGGATAAGAAAATTCATATCTGGCCTGATGATAAGGAAGAGGAGGTAGAGACTTGTAAAATTCTGCCAAAAAATGAACAAAAAGGGTATTTAACTATTAATTAACACTTCTCTTAGGCATTAAGATGATATCATGTCTTTAGCATTCTGTAGGACTAACCAACTTATCTACACAGGTGGTCATGATGGTTCTTTAATAGCTTGGAACTTTGAAACTGGATATGTTAAGTTCTACTTGCACGATTGTGATGCATCATGCATGTCTAAGACGGGAGAGTACATAAAAGAGTCAAAATCTGTTGATTGTGTATAAAAAATTTTATGTTTGTAATTATATATAGCTATTGATCTTCTATAAAAAGAAGCTATTGATGAGTGTGACTGCAGATCAGTATATTAGATTTTGGGATTTTGATATCACTGGATAGAAACAGCCAATTTTTACTTTCTACGCAGATCATCATAAGGATGATTCTATTAGTGCTATCGCAACCACTATTGAGAATGATTACATTGTTACAGGAGACACATCAGGCTGCTTGAAGCTGTGGAACATTGAAAACTTCAGATTCAAAGAGGACCACTCAACTGAAAACATTAAAGTTGAATGGTTCATTATTGCACACAAGTCAGTTGTTAATAGCATTCAGATAGTCGAAGGAAAACAATTCTAGGAGGACAAATTCATTATAACTGCTTCTAATGACCACAATATTCATCTTCACAGACTATCTAATGGAGTATTCATTGGGCAGTTTGGCTAAGAGTCAATGTGGAATATTCATGACTTAAGTGCCTTTGAAAGAAGAAGACCTAGGTATGTTAGATCCTGGTTCCTTGCCAACTTCCCTAAGAGAATCAAGAAATCTCTACAGAATCAGAAGAAAACAGTTGGATTTAAAGACTCAATGTAATTTATACATTTTAATAATATATCTTGATAGGTATTTGGAAGAATCTAAGATTGAAGAGGGGTATGATTCTCAAAGTCCAACTAGAGGAAAGGAAGATCAAAAGGATCAATTTGATGATGACTACGACTCAGAAGATGATGACGATCTTGGTGGTGTTACTATCAAAGGTGCTTCTCAATATCTTAGCTATCAACCAAGAGAAAAGAAGCAGTCAGATAGAAATAAGATCATCAATGAAGAGAAATACTTCAAGAATATTTAGAGATTGTCTCCGAAGTTAGACAAGGGTAAAAATCTCAAATAACTAAGAGAGAGACTTGTGCAAGATTTCAAACAAAAGTATAAGAATAATAGCAGCGCTTTTCTTAATGATTGATTATTCTATTTACTAATAAATTATTTCAACTAATTTCAAATTTTAAGTTACGGGGTTTTGGGGTTTTGGGGTTTTGGGG